AAACAAACAACTTAATGAATTGAGAGGGTATTAATTATATCAATAGGCTAGTTTAAATTGCAACCAGTTTAAATGGATGTAATTGAAAGTTTAAATTTAAAATTAAACTTTTCCTTAAAAACACATCACTTTGTTATGTTATTGAATATTTTTTTTTTTAATATCCGTGTCTCACGGGACAACCGCCTGAACCTTTGGTATCGAGAAGTTATTAAATAAATTTTCAAACGTCACACGGGGAGCTCACTACAAACTAGATTAACCGATTAAATCCCTAGAAACAATTTCAAAAGTATTGTAATCATCTTTTCAAATTGTGTTAAATTTTTTCCTAAATTTTGTCTCCATTATATCACTCATTACTTCTAAATCTTTGATCTTCTGAGGATTCTTGGACGCACCTAATAAAGCAACATCCCACTTATTAATTTCATCCTTCCCCAGTTTCTGGTCGTTTTTCCTTCATTTTATGCTTTTTCTGAAGTTCTTTGCTTTTTGCTCTATAAATGTTTTTTCCTTTCGCTTTATTTTGGGTTACGTCTTATTCAGATCATCAATTGAGTTAACCATTTGAGAAAGTTAGTTAATATACTATGAGATATGAGTATCATAACCCTAATTTTTTGTAAGCTGTATTAGAATATTTATAATCTGACAACAACTTTTGTCAACCGTTCCACGTGCTTAAGGATCTAACACCACAGGAATTTTCGTTATACCTACTTAAATACCAAATATCGACTCAACGTTACAACTTCAAATCATACAAATCTTGCCCCTAAGCTTGCCTCTTAATAACTCATGATTTGAGTCTTAAAACTGTCAAAGGACTTCTTTTAATTAGTTTCGATGTCCTGGAGAAGCAAGGAACCAGAAGTGATCATCAAAGGGACCCATCGTCTTTCTAAATCATATAATTATGAACCAAATAGATGCCATTCTACCAATTCAAAGTCCGGAAAGTTCTGAAAAGAATCTCTAAGAAAGAATGTTGTATTTCTATTTCAAGACAACTAATCAATCCAGAAAATAAGACTAGCATTCATAAGTGATGTCTGAGCTCTTCAGGAGTAAGAACCAAACAGAACCAGTAGAAGGAAATTACATTTGGACTCACTTAAGCTTAGATTTTGATGAGCTTTGAAGAGGCTTTGCAATGGGTCGAGCAGGGGCACTCCTAACTACCTTCTTCACATCATACTTAACCGAAGAGAAAGCACAGATCACGGCAAGAATCATTGTAGGATAAACATAAACAGATTTTGTAGGATCTGTGTTCACTGGTTTTCCAAGGATTCCTTCCTTAACAAGACCCCAAATTACCAATAGCGTTCCGAACATGCTCATCCTCCCGGGCTTCAAAAGACCCACAAAGGCGCCAGCCACTGAGAAATAGCTTCCAGCAAGAACCTGGGTAGAAGGCCAAGGCATTTGTTTTAGTACCTAAGACAATAGCAACTGAAAATACTGGAGGTACATCTATTAATTTACAAGTCAACTCCAAGAAGTACAGAGCCCTATCTGAAGAAAAATAACAAAAAAAAGGTTTGAAAGGGATTTTTTCAAGAGCAGAAGTGGAATACCTTTATTCATTTGAAATCATTGGCCCATTGGTCTAAAAAATTTCTTTTAAAAAATCTAAGACAGTAATGGATAGCTATTTGGTTGTGTGAGCTAGATTGATGCAACATAACATACCAACATGTATGTACACCATGCAAAGAAAATCCTTAATCCGATGGAATATGATAGAATGCGTTTGGGGTGATTAGAATTATTAATAAAATAGTAAAGGTAAGTTAGTAACTAGTTAAGAAATTGATTAGTAGGAATTTGTTATAAATAGAGTGAGGGGAAGGGATGAAGGTAGGTCATATTTGGTGTGGTTTAGGCTTGAGTGATCTTAAGAGGGAGGGTCCAAGTACCTCTTATTACTGGGAGATTATTGTTGCCCTATCCTTTTATCTTTCTCACTATATTTCAGCCATTTGGTTTCTATCATAATATTTTAAGAAGAATAGGATGCAAAATAAATTAACTTCCAGTTTTTTTCAAGTACCCATGTCAATGGTATCAAAATATTCAGATAAAAGATTAAGCTATGATACAAAATAGATTAACTTGCAATTGCAATAGACTCATGTAAAAAGGATTCTGACAGACCCCAAAAGTTAGTATATAGAGAGTAGGGGGGGAATGGCTTAGCATTTAATGTGAATTTAAGGGGCAGACCGAAGGTAACTAGTTAGTTAGATTGGACGGAAGCATAGGTCAAAAAGTATTTAGGAGATAGATTACGATAGAAAGTCACTTTTTGGGTGAAGTCTTATGATAGGCATCAGATAGCCTATCTGGAATACACTTAATTAATTACCCCAAAACAGTAAGCAACCTTATCTCTTTGAGAGGCCAAGAACTCTCTCTCCTTAAGAATGAACTCCCTAAGGCCAAAATACAAGACTGAATTTCCAGATGAGATTCTACCCCTTAGAAATTACCCTCCCTCACAACCTATTGCCCTGACCACCTATTACAAAAATGGCGCTCACTCTAGTGCATGCACCCTCAAAAGTATAACTAACTCCCTTCCCTTTCATTCTTCTTCGGGTATAAACAAATTGTATGGCTGGTGCTTCCATGTTGCCGTTCCCATCATCTTAGTTTGTGTTCAAGAGGGGCAGGGAACTCTCAGCTTATCCCTTAGCCATGTACCTCTTCGTTTGAGTCAATGAACAAGTTCTATGTCTATCAGTTTGGGATTCATAGCCAGTGGATACAGTTGATCAGCAGTTAAAAGATAGAGATGTTATGGTCGGGGCCTTAAAGGAGTATTTACGGTAAGCGCAGCAATGTACGACTGCAATTTGGATAGCAACGAGAAGACCAATTTTCAGTCAATGACCAAGTGTATCTTGAGTTAAAACCATATCTGCAGGGATCTCTGATTAAGCGTTCAAATCCTAAGTTGGCTCCTTGTTTCTTGATCCGTATTAGGCCAATGAGTGTATTAGCTTGGTGGCATATCGTTTGTTACTTCCAAACATGGTTGTTATTCACCCAGGAAGGGTGTTGGACATACTTTTCCAGTGCTTTCAATTCCAGCAAACCTCTCTTCTAATATAGTATTGAGCATGAAGCCAGTTACAATCAGACCCCGGAGTCATGGAAGCATGGGAAGATGTAACTACAATGGTTGCAACATGGAAACCTTACTCTCCTTTGCAGCACAATTTTCTCATTTCCACCTCATCCGCTATTTGGGGGGTGTGGGTAGTGATAGCCCTCAATAGTAAAAGTATGTCATCATAAAGGATTAAGGGGGATCAGCTTAGCATTTAGCATGAATGTAAGTAGCGGGACCAAGTTAGTTGGACTGACATGAAGGGTATGCAGTCAGAGAGCATTTAGAATATAGATTACGATGAAATGGGCACTTTTTGGGTAAAATCTTGGTGTTCAAGATAGAGAGCTCTCAAATTCTCCCTAAGCTATGTGCCTCTATATGTGAACAAATAAAGGAGTTCTATCAAATTCCCAAATGGTTTCCAAAGGAAACTCCGGGAAGCTTGTTTGGAAGCTAACCATGTTGATAAATTTTAAAATATCGTAATTTCTCTGACAAGAATAAGGGCTTGAATCCAAGATAGAACCATATAATAGATCTAATTCTACAAATAACAAGGGGGTCAAGAGAAAAAACCTCTAAACGTTGAAGATCAGTCACAGCAGAGGCTTCCTTCACATTGGTCAAGTTATATATGTCTAACAAGTTACTCCAGCTAGGAACTGTCAAGTTCATAACAAGTCCATTCACGATTGCTCCAGGATAGAGAAGTGCCTTAACAACAGGTGCAGGAAAGACTTCACTTGCAATCAACTGGGATGAAGTCACGTGCAAAGGAGTAGTACACATGCCAGATCTGCATGGGATCCTGAAAGAGAAGAGAGATTTCTAATTATGTAATGAGCATATCCACCCAAAGAGTAAAATATTATTGGACAAAAAACACAAGAATAACCATTTTTTAACTTTTAGTAGCCAAGAGTCATAACTTCAGATCATGAACGTGTGTTGAATAGAATATTGGAAGTAATACTTGAGCCAATAACCGAGGAAGCAAATAGAAATAGAAGTAGCACCTTCACAGCCATCTGTTTCCTATTTATTTGGCAAGCTTTATTTCTAGATTATATAAGCATGTCAGCAAACACACATTACAAATGTCTTTCGAGCTTATGTAGGCAGTTTCCCTTTCCATATCCTCAATTCATGGAAGTAGAGGACATGGCGATGAAAGTGATGCGAATGAGGAGTTCAAAAATCAAATGTCATGGACGGAAGGAAAATGGTAACATCTCAAACGTAAGGCAAATACCACATATTGATTCTAATCATATTCATTATTCTTTTACCAGGAATAGCACAAGAAGTGTAAGCGCTTGAAAAAACGAGAACCATTAAACCGAATACACAATAATGCAACCAAGCAAATAGAATGCATACACGGTGGTTCGATTAGAAAAGAAATTGCAAAGACTTAGCTATTTAATCTTCTCATCCCATTCTTTAACACTCCCTTCGGATGTATCCTTGCGTATTAGTTTTTATGCACGACACACAACACATAAACTATTCCTACGGAGAGGAAGTGATTTAAACCCCAATTTCCTACTGTGACATCACGACAAATGACGACCAACTCTGCAACTATGGAAAATTCAACTTTCTCACAATCGGATATTCGAACATATAGACAAAACAGAAAGATGAAGACACAGAAGCCAAAGTATGAACAATATAACTGAAGAGAAAGCAGCAGAGTGACAGTAACAATAAGCCATGACTCTCATATAATCTTCAAAACTTTAACGCTAATCGCAACTTAAAGTAGACATAACTAAAGAGAATCAGTGCTAATCAATACTACTATCCGAGTAACTAAGTAATATGGACTTTCAGAGTAGAAAAGAAATGGGGAAGAAGATGAAAACACACCTGAAGAGAGGGATCTGAAGTATGATAAGGAAGAAGAAGATGCGAGATGCGATTGATGAAAGATTTCTGACCCAACCCCTGGATGTTGTTGATGTCGACGATGGCGTGGGGGGTGCCATTGTTGACGACTTGAGGAAAGAGAAAAAGGTCAGCCGAGAGAGATGGAAGAAAGAAGAACTGGTAATTGCGGTCCAATCAGAGATTTGAAGGATCGAACCAAAGCCGAACGTTGCTGAAATTTGGAAACGTCGTCAATGTCAACTGCTACTTTCAAGTTTCAAAGGGCCGAACTGAAAACAGCGGAGAGAGAATCATGAATGGGCTGGACCTCATTATGGACCATAAGGCAGCTCTTTACAATGGGCCGAGGCCCAAAGTTTCAGTAGCTTTATTACGGAAACGCTCGTATATAACCTAATTTACAATTAGTTTGGTTTCAAAATCACCGCAGTAATTTTATTTATATTTCAGGTTAAAAAAAACATTTGGTGTCCATATTTTCACTAAAATAACAATTTAATCCTGAAACTTCAATTTGTATGGATTTAGTTCTTATACTTTTCCTAAAGTAATAATTTAGTCCTTAAACTTTAACTTGTAACGATTTAGTCCCAGTATTTAAAATTTGTAACAATTTAGTACATATTGTAAAAAGTTTTATTAAAATTAAGTGTCAAATTTTATCATATAACAATTTAATCTTTCTAATTCATAAACATATTTGGTCTCTTTTTAGTTTATCAATCTATACATACAAGAAACTTAACAAAAAAATTTCAGATAAGGATTAAATTGTTACCAACTTTAAAATACAAAGACTAAATTGTTAGATATTAAAGTTCAAGAACTAAATGGTTACCAATTTACGGTGACTAAATCATTATAAATTAAAGTTAAGGACTAAATTGTTACGTTAGCAAAAGTACAAGGACTAACAGTGTTTTTTAACCTATATTTTATTATCGATCTCAAAGTCACTGTGGCAAATAATTCGATTTTTCTTATCAAGTTTTTTATTTTTCATTTTTTATATTATCATGTTTTAAATAGCATTTCAAAAGGAAAAACGTGTGAAAAATATTTATAATGAGTTGCATTTTCTCTTGCAATGTATTTTCCAATAAAAGTCTCTCTTTTTATAAGAATATTTAACAAAAAAGAAGTAACTTTAATAAACTTATTTGACCAAGATCAATCCACTGTATTAAAATGTATTGTTCTCTAAAAAAATAAATAAATAAAAGTATTGACACGTGACTTAGGTTCAAATTTAAAAGGAGGTGAAATTTTCCAAATAATGCATGAAATATGGAAACTTTGTATACCATTATTATTTATATTTATTCATATCATTATTAATAGTTAAAAGTCAGATTTTATTGAATAAAATAATTAATCAAATAGTGGTGTGGTTGAATTATAGTAAGAATAGACTATTCTGAATAGTATAGCACTGATGCAGCATCACTGTTTTTTAGTGGAGTATTTTTCCGCTAAATTATGTTAAATTGAAAGTTTTTTTAGGTATCTTAGTCCATCAACTTAAATTTTAGGTTTGATCACAATAAAGAAGTCATTTTCTATTATTGGATATGTTGTTGGTGATTTTTCACCAACCACGTGATAAGTCTATGACTTACACATGAAAGAAGTTGTAGGTCGGACCTTCATAAAGACTTTGACTCATGTTTCATATCGAGCTGACTATAATCTCATGCTTCGACCGCATGAGATATCAGTCAAGCCGACCAACAACTCATATCTTGGTCGTTTGAAATATCAGCTGACCTATGTTAACTTTTGCATGCACAAACCTCTAACATAATCTATGACCACATGCCGTCATTCTCAGACTATTGGAGAGTCGTTTGGAAACTTGGTGGAGGTCTAATTATCGAAAGTTCCACCTGTAAATTAAGACCATCTTGCCTCATTTTCAAATATATGTGAAGTTATATTATCTCTCGAATATAGATCGACCTACTGATTTGAATATCAGAGTCTTTACTATCTTCACTCTTAAGTGCTGACTTTCCCAACATACAAAATTCTTACCATTTTCTTGTTAGGACTTCAGAGAGGCAAACGAAATAGAAGGTAAATTTGTGGGCAGAAAAAAACAAATGAATGGAATAAATCAATGATTATTTGAAATATCTGCAATAGCATATTATTTTAATAAGGATCCACTAGACCTAAAATAATTTATCTTAAGTTTAATATTTTGCGTAATATTGTTAATAATAAATAAAATATGCTTTTAAAAGAAAAGGAAAAAGAATATAATTATTAATACGAATTTTGAGATGCAACAAATTAATGCTTCTCCATGTCAAAAAAAGCAAGACAAAACAAAATAATGCTTCTTTTTCATAACCTTTACTACTTTTCATTGATTCTGGTCTTCTCGATACAATGTCAAACACGGTTTTAGCAAGTTTCTAAAATCAGATCCATGTTTTTAATTTTCTACTAAACATAGATTAAGGTGAGAATTCATCTTAATACACGCCATCCATAATTTATCTAGAAAGAGATGGATATGAATCTCGTGAAGCGTAGATTTAATGACAAAACTTTCGGAGTGCTAACTCCTTTTTTACAAGATTCCTTCTTGAGTGATCTTGAAGATTTATTGTTCTTGAACGGAAATTTTCGATAAGAACATATATAATTAAAACACTTAAAATATAAAATATTTGTTTTTTGATCGTCTAATAAATGCATTACTAATTAGAGAAATTAATATTTTAACCCGTTGAAATGTTTAATTCACTAATATTAAGAGGGATTCTAAATGCTAACTACTAAAAGGTCATTTAGTTTGTCAGAATTCAGTAGCCTATTAACTAACTTTCTCCTTCTTTCCCGTTTCTTATTTTCTCTTTTTTCAATAAATAAAATAATAATTATATTGATTAATTATTTCTTGTTTTTTATTCTTTAATTTTTTTATTTAAAAAAATAAAAAATATGTTTGACAACTATTTATTGTTACTGGTTCTTTACCATTGTAAATTAAAAAAAGTGAAAATTTTATATGAAAATTAGTTTTTTAAATTAAATATTCGAATTTTTTATCTTATATTTATTATGATTTTTATAAGTCGAAAACGATGAAATGATGCTCTTATTTATGTTTTGGAAAAACAAGAAACATAAACAAAAACAAAAAATTATTTTATTGTTTCCAAAATGTTTATGCAATTTTAGAAACATTTCTTAAAAATGAAAGAAAAACTATAACGGTTATTAAGAAACGAAGGTTACCCGCTTTAAGAAGAATTTGAGTTTTCATTAGTAATTTGCTTATAATTTCTCTAAAATATTAAATTGATAGCAAAACATTATTGTATAAGTTGAAATTGTATCAAAAAGAATTTTTCCAAGTAGAAGAAGGGAGGAGATGAATTCTACTGATGTAGATTGCAAAAGAGAGCGAGGGAGAGAATTGAATTCGAGAAAGTGCACTAAGACGTGTACCAAGAAAGTAAATAGTTCAAATCCATAGTAAACAGGAGAATCTAAATTAAATTCTCAAGCAATCAAATTCTCGTACTTACGTATGAAGTCTATCTTTATATTTATAAGCGTTGACGTTTCTGTTATATAAACATTGACATACAGAATTTATTTAAAGATCACTAGTATGATCATGAGATTTTAGATATGAGATATACGGTGATAGGTAAGTTTCATTTTGATACCTCTCTTCTTTTGTCATGAAAACTTCTAATCTTCTGGAAAGGGAAGTTGGCCAACCAATTGAGCTATATTAATAAAATTGAACTACCTTCACTGATAAATTTGGCCAAGATATGTCGACGATGATATATTGTCCGAAACAAAAAAGACAAAGTTTAAAATACCTTAGAGCTCAACCAAGTGTTACTCATTAGGAACAGCACGTGCGGATCACGTGCGAAACGAAAACTGGGTTCTCAAACCGACGGCCGACGTCAATTCCGTAACGCCGGACGAGACGCTTTTTCTGAAGAGTACGAGATCCTTCTGCCGATGCCAGCAGATGGAGTTGGAGTAGTGGTCCCAACTCCCAACTCTACTCTCAATCCTGCCCGTCTGATCCAAGATCCCATCCAACGGCCTACAAACCTACACGATCCCTTCAATATCACCTTTGATTTACCCATCTTCTCATGGCCCAGACGCGTCCACGTTCCCATCTTTCAAGCCGTCGGATCAAACAAATTTTAACGGCGTGAATCCCTCTGTCCTCGCTTTCTCTGTTAATTTTCAGACCGAAGCATTCATGTCCCGCTCTTTCTCTCTCCCTCCATCAACCTCTCTCTCTCTTCTAGAAAATATCTGGAGAAACAAAAATAAAAAAGGAATTTATCGAGCTGCATCTCTGGTTTCTCAAAGCTTTTGTTGACGAAGAAATGCAGGAGCAGGCGACGAGTTCGGCTGCCGCTAGTTCTTTACCTTCGAGCAGTGAAAGATCGTCCAGCTCCGCTCTTCACCTCGAAGTCAAAGAAGGTAAATGTTCGTCTTCTGTCACTTCAAATATCTGCTTATTTTACCAGAAATTGAAGAGATTCTTTGTTCCAGTCTTCTGAAATCTGATCATCTCTGTTCTCTGTTGGACTGATTAGTGATTAGGGCTTTATTATGAATTTTTTTTTCTTTTACATAATCGCTAGTCAATTATTTGAAATCTGCGTGAAATTGGGCATTGGATTTCTTTCTGAATTGAGTAAGAAACCTAGGTATGGAGAGCGATGAGGAGATCCGGAGAGTGCCGGAGATAGGCGGTGAATCGGCGGGAACATCGGCCTCCGGGAGGGACACCGGTTCGGTTGCGGGTCCGGACCGGGTTCAGGTGTCCCGGGAGGGTCAAAGGAAGAGAGGGAGAAGTCCGGCTGACAAAGAAAGCAAGAGACTGAAGAGGTAGGGAAAAGGCGCGTGGTTTTGGCAAATTTTTTGATCGTTGAAGCCATTTGACGAGCATTTTTGTCTGAATAGATTGCTGAGAAATCGAGTATCGGCACAGCAAGCGAGAGAGAGAAAAAAGGCGTATTTGAATGACTTAGAGATAAGGGTGAAGGATTTGGAGAAGAAGAACTCGGAACTTGAAGAAAGACTCTCCACTTTACAGAATGAGAATCAAATGCTTAGACAAGTAGGTTTCATTAAATTATTACTACTATATCATTTATTTATTCAATAATTACATACTCTTTTAAACTAAATTTTGGGTCTCAATCATTCTAAAGTTGGAAGAATGATAGGTTTCATATGAATGGGCTTTGTCACGAATGGGCCAAATGTGTTGGTTGCCCGTGGCCCATATGATGGAATATTGAACTTGTTAAAATACGTACCGTTTTGGTTGGAATTTGTAGATATTGAAGAACACAACGGCAAGCAGGAGAAGTGGGGAGTGAGAAAAAAGAAGAAAACAGAGAGGGGGACTTGTTTGTTACAGAAGGGTGTTCAACTCTGAACAAATATGATAAGTTACTGCCAAGTTTGGTAATTTATCTTCCTTCCATTATATATATTTTCCCTTGCTGTTAAACTTTTTTTTTCTCTTGTTTCTAACTTCTCTTTTTTTTTTCTCTGCAAAAGGTTCTAACTCATTTTCTTTTCCATTGTAAAATTAGCAATTAGGTACTCACTGGTTCTGGTCTTGAACTGTCATAATGTTTATTTTACTTCTTGAACTAGTAATTTCATTCAATTTTAGGCCTACATTCTCATAGACTTTAGAAATGTTTATTTAATTCTTTAACTTTAAATAAGCAATCATTATGGTTTTTACTTTGATATCTATTTGATGAATGGATAATATAGTTTCAAGTATGTTTATTAGCATGCTGAGATGCTACATGCATTAGCAAAACGATGGCATTGATCTAGAAAGTTGGTCTTTTTTGTATGTTTTAGGGGCTAAAGTAGATATTTATAGCTCGGGTACTAAAATAGTAAATTTTTAAAAGTTTGTAGACTAAAATAAATAAATATTTCAAACAATTCTCGGACGAAATTGAAGTTTTCTAGAGGAATTAATAAAAGCCTGAGTTGGTTTACCCATAACCATTGTTCTTTCCTCTGAATTTGGAAATTAAACAGTTTGTAACACGACCATCTAAGATGATCGAAAGGAATAATGATTTGTCAATTATTCTTGTTTCGAAGGTCTTGAGATCAACTTGTTCAGAATGTTCTGCCGCAATTCATTAGTCATTTAGCTGTGTTATCACCTACAACACCTTGCTTTTCCCTTCATAATGGACACTTCAATCTGTATGTAAAAGACAAATAAAACATTATGCGTCATTTAAAAAGTCCCAAGTCCTCCGTTTCATAATTGTCGGCTTCAGCATCCAACAAACTTCACGACAGTGACTAATATAGAAGAAACTGTGTAAAGTTGACATGTTCAACCATCAAGTTCTTGTTTTTCGTTGAACTGGAACCGACCCTGTTAGTAGATTCTGGTCAAAAAAGTGCTTTTCTTTCAATAGATTTGTAAAGTTGACATGCTCAACAACCACAGTCATCAAAAAAAGCTTATCCATTGACTTCTAACAATGGGAACAGTGTCATTTAAGGGACTATCCAAATATATAGTTCATAAAGAAATTCAGCTCTAGCCTTGCATAAAGGATCCTTGAACTGTATATCATAGCAAAACACCAGAAGTCTAGTTAAAGACCAATAACAGAAAACAAAACTGTGATTCCTCTCTTTTCTCTAACATGCCATTGCAAGGAAGGAATCGCTACTCTTCATCATTGTTTTCGACAAGGATCCTCTTGCAGGCCTCGTAACACATGAATGAAATCCCGGCAGCAGGTACCAGCTTCATACAGCTGGGACCGAGCCCTCTGAACAAGCCCGGAATGCCTTCTTGCTCGAATATGCTTACAAGTGCATGGATGACATTCTTATAAACCTGTCTTCCGCTGAGAGCTCCCACCTGCATTTGCTTGCGAGCAACCTCCAGCGGGAACGTAACGCTACTTGAGAAGGCACCAGCTGCCGAGCCAATTAAAAGGGTCTCAATGTTTCCAATTCTCTCTTGCTTAAAAATTTTCCGGTACGCCTTTCGTAACGTGTCGTATGCAAAATAATTGGTTGCAGAGTACGGAATTACTCCGATCAAACTAGGGGCAAGGCCTCTGTAGAGTTCGGCAGGCCCCTCTTCTCTAAGTATTTTTAAGAATGCATCAAATAGACCATTGTACACGTCTCTCTGCAACATTCATAAATCTCCATATAGCATTTTCTCTCAAGCAAAAGGATACACAATGGCTTGTATAGTTTAGTTTAGCAAGTACCTGAATCGTCAACCGGGTCTTGAGTAACTCGAGAGGATAAGTGCATATCGTTGAGCTAACTCCGGCACAGGCCCCGGCAACAAATGAGGCAGAAATAGGAAGTTTTGGAGACTCACCAGGCTTAGGTGACAAATTCTTGTTGACTGTGTCATACACAAAGAGCTGCACATGGAGTGGTGAAGAAAGTTTCAAAACCAAGCATTCAAGATGATTAACGAGTACCTTAGATGCAGCTCCGACAATTTGTTATCCCAAATGAAGTTTAAATTACTGTTTGAAACAGCATGAAACAGAAGTTACTTTCTAATGAAATATGATTGTAATGGCTCACAATATGAGGCAAAAAAGCTAGTGAACGATGCAATAATTCTGAAGTCAAACAATATGGATTTTGAAACAAGGTGATTCGATAACCAGAAGAGCCACATGTAATATGACACAAGCACCAAAACAACACATATTAGTGATACAATCAAGTTGTAAGAACAGAGAGGAAAGCAGAAATGCCAGTTCCAAGTAAATGAGTCTTCTATTCAACCATATACTCTTACCAAACTCCTTAACCAAAGGGCACAGCAAAAACAAGAGATAAGGCATAAGCAAAAGAACACAACAGATTAGGCTAAAGAATTGAGTTTCGAACACCCCCTCCCCCACCAACTACTAAGCACAAGAAAATCAGAAAAGCGAAATCAGAGATTACAATACCTCAATGGCCTTGCTAGGTGCAACTCGAATGATGTTAACAAAATTTCCCCTAAACAGCCCCTTCCACCCATCAGTTTTCATAATATTATGGAACACTTCTGAGGTAGAATTTCCACTACTCCCCACCATTAGATGTGTCCTTATGGTCTCCAATGGCGCCACGCAAGTCCTTGACACTGCCCCAGCAACAGCACCACTCATCAGCCTTCTCAGTGAAGGATTCGCAACTTTAACTTTCAATCTAAGGCCAACCTTCTTCTTCTTCACAACCCCTCCCTCTTCAGCAGCCCCAGGAATCCGAAAACCCTCCACCCAAGATAAGTACTTCACATACAAATCGGTGTAAGGAAGTTTACTGCCGCCATTGTTGCGGGGATTGGAAGAATCTGGAGAAATTCCGAAGCCCACTCCCATCTGCCCCACGCTTGCAAATAAGCCACCGGGTAGAAAAGCCTCATCCTGGAGACGACATTGAGATCCCAAAGCAGAAACTGAGAAGAACCCATCCTTTCTATCATCGAAAACTCGAATTCCCTTCCTACCCATAAATCAAAACCGAGCAAGCAACCTCCTTACAGACAAATTAACCCCACCCCCTTATAAAAAACTCAGAAGAAAAAACAAAAATCAAGTCAGAATACTCATTTTCAAAGCGGAAAATTCGAGGAACTGATGCAGAGGCGCATGAAGTTGAAAGGGAATTGTGCTGTGAAGAGAATAATTGGTTAGAAACGAGAGTAGAGAAAAGGGGGTATATTCGAATTGGAGGGGAGAGATGGAAAATTGAAAAAACCTAAAATGGGGAGAGAGAAGAGAGGAAGATGAATCACTCTCTTTCACCAACCCAACCCAAATACAAAACTGCGGCCAAATGCAGCGCAGGAAATATTATAGTGGAGGAATAATAGGGTAATTTTTTGTTCCGCAGCATGGCCTCCGGTTGGTTCGAAGGAGTTAGGTTTTCTGGCTGCCTCGCCCTCCGAAGAACCTCAGTCCGTTTCTATTTAATTTTAAGAAATAAAGTTTTAAATTTCAAAAAGGTGACGTCTTTGGCTTTTTGCTCATATTTACCATTTTTTATTGTATCCTTTGATTAATCTTAAAGCACAATTAACAATATAATATAATATTATAATGCCTGATTTACAGTTGTTGAGATTGGTAGAGGTGATTTTGACTCATTATAGACATATTTTGAATTTCTTTCAAAAAATATATATATTTTTTAATTATTCAGTCAATTAATTAAAATATATATTCTCGACTAAAAGTTTGAAGTCTACCTCACATACCGTGAGAAAATTCTTTTCTATGAAGCATTATTGGGAAGATTGCTAATTAAACGCTTTCCTTAAAAGCATTTTTTAGTTTTTCATAACTTTCAAAATTACTTTTAATTACCTAACCCAACATTATTAAAATTTTAAAAATATGTCAAAACAAGCATAGTGGTAATTGACATATATCACCAACGAACAGGTTGTGAGTTCGATATTCTACCTCACATGTTGTATTAAAAAAAATTTAAAAATATTTTTATCTTTCTAAAAATCACTTCGAATTCACCTTAAATCAATCAGAAAACATATATAAATTTAATACTTGAAATTGTATTCTTATTTCCATCTATTTATTAAAAGCAGCTTTATAAGAATTTGTCTCCCATAAAATTTGGGTTAAACTTAACTTGTTTCACCATTTCGAAAAAGTAATTTTGAGTACAGTTTTTCTTCCATTGGGAGTCATTAAATCCAGAATTTATGAAAGAAAGGTTTCATTTTTATTGTTTTTTAGGTTCTTTATTTATTTTTTATTTTCTTGCAAAGGTCATTTTGGTCGTTTCCTCCACTTTTACCTTATTCATTTGGATATTTATAAGGCCTTGAAGAATTTCCTATTACATTGTTTGATCATTGCATAAAATGTTTGGTGGAATGAGACGGATTGGTTATGGCTTTCTTTTGAGTTGTGAGGCTCTCAAATCTCTATCCCTATTTAAAGTTAACTAGTTTTCTCAAAAGGAAAAAAAAATCCACAATTCACAAAATGATCTCATTTTTGTAAGGTGCAAAAGTTAAAATAATTTTACTAGATTCAAGGCGGAGAAAGCCTCTCAACCCAAGTTGGAGCACTCGACTAAATCAAAACAGCCTCAACCAAAGCTAGAGCACCAACCAAACCCGACCAAATTGAAGAGTCAGACCACTTGGTCATGCTACAAACAAGAGGAGGGTTATGGACGCAACATTTTACCACTCTGTTTTCTACCATTCTCAACTATGCATGAAAGTGTGTTGGACTTACCACCACATCAGTGTAATATACAGGTATTTATTCGTTGGAGTACAAATCCAAATACTGCCTCTCGATTATATATTAGATAGTGAAAATGTTGTTGCGGAAAAATACTTCTTTATCGAACAAAATTAATCAACATCCAAATAAAAAACAAGTAAAGAGGAAAAGAGAAAGATGACACCAAAATTTATAGTGGTTCGACGAGTGTGTTGTAGTACCTCTGCTAGCTTCAATATCCAGAAGGAGGAAAATAACCAATCTAAACTCTTAAGTAGAAAAATACCCACGAAAGAAGATGAGAGACAAAAACTTTGCAGACATGGTAGAAGACAAAACTCGAAGCCCTCTGATTTTCACGATTTCTGCTGCAATCAAAGAGAGAACGAGAAGCTGCTGTATTTTTCTTTGGAGAAGAAGATTCTGCCTCCTCAACCTCAATCTCACGGCACACTTGAAGCAAGAAGGAATGGGAGGTTTCAAACACTTATGAGAATAGTCATATGTTGGGCTTGAACAAAATAGAAGCCCATTTGGGATATGACTTGATACACCCAAACATCAACAAATGTGTTTTTGGCTCTCTACCTAACATTTCACCCTCCATTTTGGAACCATTCTCATCACGTGTTTCAATAATTAATTTTATGCGCGTTAATAGCAGAGTAAATGTACATAGCCAAGCGAGCATAACTTAATTGACATATATCTCTAACTAAGAGGATGTGGTTTCGATCTCCCACCCCAGCCTATATACTAAAAAAAATAAAAATAAAAAAATAATAATAATTTGACAAATTATTTATAAATAATATAGCAGATTATCTCTATTATAATATGCTACATACGAGTTGTCTAATTCATCCGGAGTAAGTTTGAAGACATGATTGTTTTTTTATTGTTAAACTTTGAATGAATTTATTTTATATAACAGAGTGGTAGAAAATAAACTAACTAACATACGGGGGATAAAACTTAAGTACTTACCTGTAAATAGGTATCCAACGATCAGAAAAATGACAACAAAGAGAGATAAATACATAAAGAAAGAGAGAAAACTATAATAAATAGTTGTGTCAATTTTTTAATAGTGATAAGTAAGAAGATACCTACCCACACACACAATGCATCCAAATTTTATCCACGTGGATCACCGTTGAATCTACAATTAAATTTCTATATTATCCATTTGACCACAGATAATCAAACTTTGTCCAATCCCACCAAAAATTTCACTCCACAAATGATTAGTGTACCACTTACTTTCCCAAAATCCACATCCACATATATGATATTCAAAAAGCACCTCTCCCAGTCTCCTCCATGTTCAAAATCCTACTATAAATAGATTGATAAGAGAGTTGAATTAGAGAAAGCAACCCAAAACCCAACTATATAAATAACTTTCCCCATAACTTCATACACATAAAACACAAAAAAAAACTAATGGCAGTTCAACACTTCTTCTTCTTCTTCTTCTTCTTCAAACACATTTCCATGGCTCTTGCAGATGTTGGCACTGCCACAGCCTACGGTCCCCCATATCTTCGTAAGTAAATTATACATTGAAAAAATATATCTTTACTTGTGGTTGTAGCTACTAACAATGGCGTTGATTTGCATGCCTGCCTGCAGCCACCCTTTGTAATGGGAACAGCGTTGCCCAGTTCCCGCCCGGCAACCTCTTCGTGGCGGTGAACGAAGGGCTGTGGGACAATGGCGCTGCCTGCGGTCGACGGTATAGATTACGATGCTTGAGCGGGCGAAACCGCCCGTGCAAGGCCGACATCATCGAAGTTCAGGTGGTCAACCTCTGCCCCAAATCGCCATGCCCCTCTTCCTTTCTCATGTCCAAAGAGGCCTTTACCGCCATCTCCCGCCTCCCCAATGCCAGACTCAACGTCGAATATATTGAGTACATGCATAACCTCCACTATTTTTTTCATTAAATATACTATAACCTATTCAGCTTAATTACGTCCGAATTCTAAATTTGATTCAATTTATTTGTTGATGTATATGCAGGATATAATATTACAGGTTTGCAGCCATGTCCTCCGAAGATCTTTCAATTTCAAGGCATATAATTTGTTGTGTAATATTGTAAACCATTAAATATGGTTACGATATATATAGCATCACCTTTCTCTTTTGTTTTAATTATTACTATACACTGACAACTAATTCTGTTCTCCGTTGACTGGTTAAGATATTTATATCCAATTCAAAATGTCGCTCCACATGTTATATTAAAAAATTAATTTAGCTCTATATTGTCTTACTCAAGTTTTTGTTCAAATTCCACAGTTCCTTCTTTATAAATTATTGATGGCAATGGTGGCTTCAAAATTTTTTGATATTAGTTGGTCGGAAAGGAGATGCCAACAGATAATTAAGAATCTCAAAACATGCTGCAGCCTAATCCCACTGAATAATGCTATTTAACAAAGTTTTGGGAGTTGGTATAATTAACGGTTCTAATTAATTAAGTTGATTAGTGGGGCAAAAAGATAACTAACGAATACTTATGACTTATCTCAATATATGGTGCGTTCTCTACAACCCTAAAAGCTAATGGGAATAATGATTATGAGGCCAATATATACGCATGTTATGATATTATATATATCTCATCTCAATGTTATAAAGCAATTAGTTACGTTTGATAATTTTATGTGTAAAACGTAACGAGGTCTGGTCTAACCTGATGAAGGTTGGACATGTAGGACGGATGTCTTGATCTATCAAGAAATTACCTAGCAAACACTGACGCTCAAGTGAGTTGAATAGTATTAAATATTTATGAGATTTGAGATAGAATTCGATACTGGTATGTTGAAGTGGTGTTCTCTATTTATAAGTTAGGGATTAGATAGACCTTCCGATAGACGATTATAGAGGTCGAGTAGTAGGTTCGACATGCTTTGGATCGCATGAGTCGGATCTGCACGTTGGTTGCTTCCACGAGTGTTTCTCAAAATGGGTTAATTGCCAGGTATGTCACCTCGAAACCATCCGAGATGGCCTGAGTTCCCAGATTTGTGCCGGTGGATTTACTTGCGTCTCCCACGTGGCGAGATGATTTTCACCTCAAACAGATAATATTATTTCAACGTGAAGTATCTCTTCTATACCAAATATTTGACAATTGTAACTCAGTCAATAGTTTACATTGGATTTTTTTTTATATGAATACTTAACATCTATATTTTTAAACTAGAAAAATGCATTTTTTTTCTATTTAAAAAAAAACTAAAAGACTATTAAATTTTAATATTTGATCAGCACAAAATAGTGGGAATTTTTTTAATATTATTATATATTAAACTTATTTTAAAAATATTGTTATTTAATTAAAAATATTCGAAATAGGGTAGTTTATGAAACTTTTTTTAAAAATATGGTTGTTTTAAAAAACCAAAGGAATGGTCGTCTCTTCAAGAGACAACCACTGGTCGTCTCTCGACCACGTCTAAAAACAGGCCACGTGGTAGATGGAGAGACGACCATCTACAAAACCCACCCCAAACCCTTTTTATAAAAAGCCTACCCCACCACCAAACCCCACCACCATTATTTTATGCCCCCGCCGCCGCCGCCGCCTCGCTGCTCCACCGCCGACTCCCGTCTGCTCCGTCGCCAGCGTGCCGCCTCCTCCGCTCTTCCGTTGCCGCCGCCTCCTCCGGTGAGCGGCTGCCTCTTCCTTTTTTTCTCGTTTTTTTTGTTTGTTTTGTTTGTTTGTTGTTTTGTAATCTAATTTTATTTGTCCTTTTTTTTGTTAGATTTGGGACCACTCTATTCCTTTCTTTTTGGAATTATAAAGGATAAAGGTACTTTTTCTTTGTTTTCTTTTATTATTATTATTCAATTTTATTCATTTATTTGTATTTTGTGATATATTTAATTGGTGAATGTATCTAACTTATTTGTTTAATACGTACATATATTTTTAATTCATTTCTTTATTGGATGAATTTAGGCAATTATAAAATCATATATTTATTTTTAATTGTTGGTGAATTTATTTAATTATTTTTAATTGTTAATGAATATATTATTTATTTCTTTAAATAATATATATTTATGTAATTAATTTATTTTATTGATTTGCTTTTTTATTTAGTACATGTGCGTAATGTTTAATAAATTTAGGTTATTTATTTGATTGGTGTAGTTAAATTTAATTAGGACCTTAATTAAATATATCCTTTTTAAATTTAGGATTGAAATGGCAGCTAAATGTTTGACGATTGTACTGTATATGAATGGTGGTACTGTTGATGGTGTAAATGAAATTGATTACGATGGACCATCAAGTAGAGGTTTTACTGTCTACAGTGGTATTGAGTTTGAACATTTTGTTCAAATAGTTGGAGTGTCACTAAGGTTAGATATGGGRAGAAGTAAATAAGAACTTGTTTATAGACACCTTAATCAAACACCATCGGGTTCCATTAAATACATTCCTATTCCATTAGAGAACCAGAATGCATTGGATTTAATGTTCTCTATTGCTTTGCCATGTCTACAATTAGTGGAATTATATGTGAAGGTTAGAAATATGACGAATGTCCCATTTGACCTCGACGGTGAACATGATATCCCTCTTGAATCATTGGATCTCGAGGGACCCAGCCAATGTCTTGA